AGGCGTGAGCCACCAGCGCCCGGCTTGAGGATAGCAGTTTTAAAATGAACTCTTGCAGGAAAGTCTCTGAGACTCTTATCTCCAGTTAACCATGACCAACCAAAAAACACAAATAAAATAAATAAAAGCAGATGGATCTAAGAGGGCCACGATAAACTTGACAAAGGAAGCTCCTCAAAGGAAGTAGTTAGTATTTGAGAGGGTCCTGAAGGATGAGACTGTTGATAAGATATTGTCATTTTGATTTCTCTTGTACCTTCAATTCAATGCTTTGGCAAAATCAGTCTCTATCCACAATTACCCATTTCTCTTCATTTCCATTTCCATCATTCTTTTTTTTTGTTTATTTTTGTTCCGTTTGATGGTTTTGAGGTTTGAACTCTGGGACTGGGCGCTGTCTCTAAGCTCTTCAGCTCAAGGCTAGCACTCTACCATTTGAGCCACAGCGCTCCTTCCAGCTTTTTCTGTTTATGTGGTACTCAAGGAATCAAACCCAGGGCTTTATGAATGCTAGGCAAGCACTCTACCACTAAGCCACATTCCCAGCCCCTTAAGGCACATCTTTCTAGAAGCCTGCCATGTCTCTCTACCTCATTGAAATAAAAACTAATTCCTGTTTTTTTTTTGGTTTTTGGGTTTTTTTTTTTTTTTTGGTCAGTTGTGGGGCTTGAACTCAGGGCCTGAGTGCTGTTCCTGAGCTCTTTTGCTCAAGAATAGTGCTCTGCCACATTGAGTCATCAGCTCTACTTCTGGTTTTTTTGAGTGGTTAATTGGAGATAAGAGTCTCCCTGGGCTTCAAACCTCAATCCTGAGATCTCAGCCTTTTGAGTGCTACGATTACAGGCATGAGCCACCAGTACCCAGCAAAAAGTAATTCTTGAGTACATTTCTTTGTTTTTTTTTTGGGGGGGGAGTAATTCTTTACTAAGACTATGTGACCTGTTACACACCTCTGACTTCACCTCTTAGAATCTTTCCCTGTTCTCTCAGGTCTGCCTGTTTTCCATGCTCTATCTCAAAACTCCCAGACAGCTGGGTGCTGGTGACTCATGCCTGTAATCCTAGTTACTCAGAATTCTGATAACTGAGGATCGTGGTTCAAAGCTAGCCTGGGCAGGAACATCCCTGAAACTCTTATCTCCAATAAACCACCAGAAGATCAGAAGTGGCGCTGTGGCTGTAGTGGTAGAGCACTCTCCTTGTGCTCAAGAGCTGAGGGACAACACCCAGGCCCAGGGTTCAAGCCCCATGACTGAAAACAAAAAACCCTCTCAGACACACTCCCACTTCAGTACTACTGTATTTCCAATTCCCTTTGTCTAGAATATTTTCTCTTGGAGGTCCATGTAGCTGACTTATTGCCTACAAAAGATTCAACGTCATCTACAAAAGATTCAATATCATCTGCCCTTGAGACGTTTTTTTCTTTTTTTGGTTGGTTGTGGGGCTTGAACTCTGGGCTTGGGCCCTGTCCTTGCGCTCTTCAGCACAAGGCCATCACTCTACCACTTGAGCCACAGCACCACTTCCAGTTTTCTAGTGGTTTATTGGAGATACAAGTCTCACGGCCTTTCCTGCCTGGGCTGGCTTTGAACCATGATCCTCAGATCTCAGCCTCCTGAGTAGCTAAGATTATAGGCGTGAGCCACTGGCACCTGGCTTCCTTGCAACATTTTATATATACTCTTCCCAGTTTTTCTCATAGCATATGTCAAATATACTTACTTATATGATTTATCATTTTTTCTTCTTTCCTACAGTGTAAACTTTATGTGAGTAATGAGAGTAGAGATATGTTACTTGGTTTGCTGTTCTATCACTAGGAACAGTATCTGGCTCAAAGCAGGAGTTCACTAAATGAATGTTTCCATTGTGCTGGAGACACTTAATTTAAGCTTAATTTAAGCAGCAGTATAGAAATACTGAAGTATGTCAGGCACCAGTGACCCGCATGTAATCCTAGCTATTCAGAAAGCTAAGATCTGAGGATCATGGTTTGAAGCCAGTCCAGGCAGGGAAGTACATGAGACTCTTATCTCCAATTAATCACACACAAAAAAGGCAGAAGTGGAGTTGTGGTTCAAGTGGTAGAGTGCTAGCCTTGAGCCTGAAAGCATAAGGACAGCATCCAGGTCCTAAGTTCAAGCCACAGGACTATCACCAAAGGGGAAAATAATTATCACTATAGAAAAGGAAATGCTACTTTTTACCATTTTTTCCACAAGCTCTTGTTGCTTCACTAAATCTCTAAAGCACGAGGTGTCAATTATTCTCTATAAAGTTAGAGAAATTTTCCTTTTCCTTATTAACTTAAATCATAGTATCAGCTTCCATCTAGAATTCAGAAACTGTGTCTAGATCACCAGGATTAACCTAGGAAACCGTCCATGTGTTTCAGGTTTGAAGCTGCCAAACTTGTAATGCAGTGGCTTTGCAACCATGAGGATCAAAATATGCAAAGAATGGCTGTGGCTATCATTTCCATTCTGGCTGCCAAGGTAATTGATCTCTTGCTGAATGATTTTCTTTTTCTTTATTTTGCCAGTCCTGGGGTTTGAACTTGGCCTGGGCGCTGTCCCT